GTATGTTGCATTTTATGACATATTCGTGCAAGTCGATGAGCAAATGTTCAACGAACAGTAAGTATTTTTTTTAATATATATTTTTTATTTATTTTAGATTATTTTTTTTATATAATATTGAACAGTAAGTATATTATTTTTTAATACATGCACTTTTTATTTATTTTAGATTATTATTATTTATATATTATCGAACAGTAACTATTTTAGTTTTTAATGTATTTTTTTTAGTTATTTTAGATTATTATTTATATATTACTGAACAGTAAGTATTTATAGTTTAATATATGTATTCTTTATTTTAGATTATTTTTTTATATAATATTGAACAGTAACTATTATATATATTTCTTTTTATTTCTTTTAGATCTTTTTAATTTCTATATTACTGAGCAGTGAGTATTATATTATTATATATATATTTTATTTATTTTAGATTGTTTTGGCTTCTATATTATTGAACAGTAAGTATTATATATATTTTTTTTATTTATTTTAGATTATTATTATTTATATATTATTGAACAGTAAGTGTAATATATATATATATTGTTTATTTTAGGTTTTCATTATTTATATGTTATTGAACAGTAGGTATTTTGTATCTTTAATTTATTTTATTTTATTTATTTTTAATTATTTCATTTTTAACAAATAAACTTGATTATATTGCGAGACAGGAGAAGACGGCGATGTGGATGGTTTCGTGCCATATTTGACAAAAAACGATCGTATACGGGGAAAATACGATCGTTGACGACTGTAAACGCTCCGTTGACGATCGTAAATGCTCCGTTGACGACCATAAACGCTCCGTTGACGACCTCCGTTTTTCTCCGTATACGATCACGGAGAAATACGGTCGTATACGATCGTAAACGATCGTTTACGGAGTGCGTAACGGTGGACCTGGGAAGATGTCGTCTACGTATCGTTTCCATAACTGAGGCTTATTCGTTGAAAATTTGTTTAGTTTTAACTCTAATTTTGATAAAAATATGTCAGCTAAGATGAGTGCAAGGGGAGAGTTCATTGCAACTCCATCTTGCTGAATGTATGCTTTATTCAGAAATCGAGATGGTACTTCACAAATAGTTAATTCTAGAAGTTCTTTGAATTGTGCACGACTAAAAGGAATTGTTATTACTTTTTCTTTTTTGAGTAGTGTATCTAATTTTATTTCTATTGCTTCGTTTACAGGTATGTTCGTGTATAAATTATCTATATCGAAGCTTACCATAGTTTGATTATTACTAGTGTTAATATCTTTTATTTCTTTAACGAATTCAGAGAAATCTTTAGTGTATGAAATTGACTTAGATAGTCGATTATTTTTTATAATGTTTGAAAGATATGTTAATAATTCGTAATTGTATGCGCCCACCAGGGCTGCCAACCGTACCCCATTTTGGGGTACAATACCCCATTTTGCCATTTTGTACCCCAGGAAATTTTGTACCCTTGTGGTACACTTTTTGTACCCCATTTAGGTTGTTGAGCTTTTATTACTATAAACAAGTCTTTGAATTAAAATCAACTATATTTTCGATACACTTTACATCATCTTTCTAGAAACATTTGCATAGGACAATGTTGGTAAATAGTTGATAAAGGCAAGTTAGCATACATTTTATTCATTATGTTTTCTCTTAACCTTTTCTATTCCCGCGATTGATTTCCATCCCAAAATCCAAATAAACTTTGACGACTCTTTCACTTTTTGTCTTTGTTTTATTATGTTTTTATCAGATTTAACTGACGCATTGTATTTAAAAAACTAAATTAGATTTAAGTTTGTGCTGAAATGAAAAATAATATCAATTTTTATTAGGATTTCGGCAAAAAAAGGTGAAATTCAGATTTATTGAGAGTCAGAATCAGAAATGACAGCAGTTTCTGAAACATTCTGTAAATCCATTGAAAAAACTGACTGCAAGTGCCACAGAAAATGTGACGATAAGAGGAACAATGGACGCGTCACAACCTCTATTTTGAGAAAATACACTTTTTCTTAACAAAAGTATTTTTTCTTATCGAATAACAGATTGTAGAATGAAAATGAATTCTGTATCTTATACTTTTAAAAAGTGACAGATGCATTTTTCAACTTCTTAGAAGATCACTTTTGCACATCCTCCCATGGTTTTCTTTTTGGGTATATTCTTTTGCGTGTTCCAATATGTGCCGTTTCATTCAAAATGTAAAGGTAACGAGAGAACCTCCTGAGCTGTTCCCTTCCAATTTCGATGATTTTTTGCCTGTAGATACTACATCGTGTGTTAATAAAAATCCTAAAAGGATTTCTGTTCCTATTGAGATTCAGCAAAGCTATTGGATTTTTAAGATGTCTAATCATTTAAGATTTTAGGTCTCAGGAAAAGTTATATTTTCGAATTTTGATCTGAAACTTTATGCATCTAAAGACCTTAAGTAAACTGGCTCCCATAAAAAGATTCAGAAGTTTTGAATGAAGTTACCTTCAGAAACAAGACTTTCAAAAAATGTATTGTATATTCTATTTTATGGAAAACCTTATATTCCGAAAATTTAACATCTTGGAGAGACTTTGTACAAAGTTTCTGAATCCTTTTTATGGAAGCTAATCTACTTGAGATCTTTATATGCATAATATTTCAGATCAAAATTCGAAAATATAACTTTTCATGAGACCTAGAGTTCTAAATATTTAGACATATTACAAATTCAATAGCTTTTCCAAATCTCAATAGAAACTGAAACCTTTTAAAGAATTTTTACTAGCATACTATATAGTATCTATAGGCAAAAAAATCATTAAAATTGAAAGAGAACACCCGAGGAGATTCTCTCATAATCGATATCTTTGACATTGTTCTTTTTCTAAAGTGTATCTCTCGGCTCCTAACGGAGGAAGTATATAATTAACCGGCACTCCAGGCAAGCTACTCGTTAACGCATTGTCGAAATTGAAACTAAAGAAAAATGTGCTACTTTCTACAGTGGAATCATTTTTAAAGTAATGTTATTCTCTCAATAGACCTTTTTTTTGCTGTTTTTTACCTACCACAACTCTCTTTCAGAAGAAAATAAGGTACCCCAATAGTGTACCTCATTTTAGAAAAAATGGTACCCCAACTGTACCCCATTTTAAATCTTTTGCACCCCATTTGAAAATTAGGAGTTGGCAGCCCTGGCGCCCACAGAGGATATTATTGGGCGTAGTGAGTAGTTTAACTTATGAATTTTTGGCTGACCATATAAAACTGCTAGTGAGAAAGAAGTTGAGCGTAATGGATAGAAAATTACGGTTCCAATTATTTTTTCTTTTTGTAATTTTAAGAGATATGTGTTCATAGTTTTTTCTTTTTGTGTAAGTGAAGACTCTTGAGAAAGTGCAAACTCTTTTAGTTTTATAATGTCATGAATTTTTTCAATGTAGTCTTTTTTGTCTAGAACAACTATAGCATTACCTTTATCTGCTTTACTTATGACCATGTCGTGATTATTTTTTAGTTTCATTAAAGCATTGAATTCTTCATCGCTTATATTGCGGATGTTTTTTCCCTTTATAGGCGTTATTAGCTTTTCTGAGTGATTAAATATTTGACGACATATGTGTTTGAAAGCAGATGGATGGCAATGTTGTGCTAGTTTTCTAGTATTTATTTCAATATCTGTTTTGAAGTCAATGAAATTTGTTATTTTGTTTTCTATTCAGAAGTCCCAAGCTCTGCATAGTAGACGTTCTTCTTCTGGTGATAGGTTATGTAAAGAAAAGTTGCGTATTATTTTTTGACATAAGGTTTCGTAATGTTGTCTAATCGAACCTTTGTTTAGTTTATGAAGTTTTCTTTCATGAATTTCAATTGTTTTTTCTTTAACTTCTTTGTTTTTTCATGAAGAAATTGTTGGAATTGTTGGAAATTTGCCTGCTGTAATTTATATGTAAGATAGCTGATAAATAACTCTAGTTCTCTCTGATATTTTATTATTTCTTTATCACAGCTTGTATATTCTTGTTTTAGACCGAAATATTGAAAATTTTTATATTGTGTAGATGTTTCTGTTTTCTTTTTCCAAAATTTCATTTTTATGAAATCAGGCATTAGTCTATAGATTATAAATAATCTTAACAATTCTAGGTCACATTTTTCTTTTTGTATTTTTACAGATAGTATTTCTGTTTTTCTGATACTTATAAATAAAACGTCATCGTACCTGTGGAGAGTATTTTGAATATAATTTAATGATAGCGCAGGTGAAAATAAATATGTAATGAATGCGTATAACACTGCAACGAAAATCATGTTTCAATTTTCTTCGAAAATTATTTTATTTCAAGCTTTCGAAATTAATTAATTTTAATGTATTTCAAATTGTAATCGTGTTATCTTTGATCTACTAATGTAAACTAGCACATGTATAATTCCTCTTGTATTGATATATATATAGTCTTACTTTTGTTTTTTGTTACTATATCCTGATGATGACAATTGGTAATTGTCGAAAGCCTGAAATAAAATAATTTTCGAAGAAAATTGAAATATGGTTTTCGTTGCAGTGTTATATTCATTCATTACATAATTATTTCCACCTGCGCTATCATTAAATTAAATGAGTTTAGAAATATAATAACGCACCGTATTGCTTTCATGGAACACGATGTGAAAGTAATGTTGAAGTTTTTACAGTAGAAATTTGGAAACTCTTCCACGCAGAACGCGATAGACGTTGCTGATATGCGATCACAGATCATATTTTAATAACGTTTTGTTACAATATGTTATCTACTTCTTTGTTGTATTTTTAGAAAGTTCAGTAACAGAGCGATGAAGAAATGTGTCTCCAAACACATGGAATGAAACAATCTATATGTGTTTAGCAACAACAGATACATCCTGTTTCACATTTTAATCCTGCAGTGATTAAGCTAATACCTTTTATTTCTCTATCAAAAATCACATTTTTAAACTGATTTATTTGAGAAAAAATTTTCGTTCGATTTTATAATCCTTTCAGATATGGACTTGATACGACGTTATCGATTTGCTTATTTAGTTTTTTTAATACTTCCATATTTATTTATTATATATTCATATTTTTTTAAATCGTCATCATCATCATCATCATCAATCAACAATTCAATGCAAATAAAACAATCGTCTCGTGTACTAAAATCAATTGATGTTGAACGAGTCTTAGTTATTTATGTTTTGGCTGATACAGATGTACAGGCAGTTGGTAATCTTCAATTTTTTATTCGTTATGGTGTTCATCCATCACAACCAGCTGATTATTATTTTATTTTACAACAAGTTAATAACAAAACAGTGAATGAATCTCGTTTACCAATACTTCCATCCAATGCACATTATATTCAACACATAAATGAATGTTATGATTTTGGTACAATTGGATGGTTTCTGTCACAGAATATAACAAATACAACTTTATATAAATATTTTATTTTTATGAATGCATCGGTACGTGGACCATTTTTCGCTACTTATTTTGATAGTGATGCCGTATGGTGGTTTACAATATTTACTAAACGTTTAAATGATGATATAAAACTTGTTGGTTGCACAATAAGTTGTGCACATAGTCCACATGTGCAAAGTTATTTGTTAGTTACTGATCAAATCGGTTTTGCAATATTAATTGATAAAAAAAATAAAGTATTTAATTGTAAAAATGGTTATAATGATGCTATTGTTAACGGTGAAATAGCTACTAGTCAACTTATTCTTCATGCTAATTATCAAATAGCATCATTACAAACAAAATATCAAGGTTGGGATTTTCGTAATAAAGAAAATTGGGGTTGTAGTAATAAAGTTAGTCCGATTTTTCTTGATCGTGCCGTTGATGGCATTTCGCATGATCCTTATGAACTTGTATTTGTCAAGTATAAAGGATTACCACCATTTGATACCGATCTGGAAAGACGTGCATTGATCTATCAAAAATGGTTGGACGAGCGTCCAAAAACAAAAGAAAGAAATCGAACAGCTATAAAATAAATACACTCTTATCTTTCTGTTTATTGTGCTTTTATATTTCAATTAAAAATGTTTCTAAGACGGAATGCTTCAACTCAATTGGCTTCACCTGTATATATTGGAAAGCCAATTTTTAAAGATGATGATAACAACTGTTTCATTGGTGATGTGATCTCGAAGATCGTTGAGAGTGCTTCTAAGTATTCTGCAGTACGCTTTTTCGAATGGAAATTTTAAAGACAAACAGCTGATCAACTGATAATTGTAAAAAAATCTAAAGAACAATCCAAGAATTTTCTCGACATCAGAAAGTTACTGATGATGATGTCTACAAAAAGAGAAAAAAATCATTTTCAGCAACACTTATTAGTTTGCTTTATTAGACAGTAATGATAATATGTTTCTTACAAATTAAATTACAATAGAGATAAAGACTGATACTTATATCTCAATGATATTACTAATTATTGCACAATTAATCATTAAGTCATGTAAGGAAAACACGTAAAGAGCAGTTTTCTAATAACTAATTTAAAGAAAAACAAAATAAATCAAATTTGAAGCATGTTTATTTTCCGTAGTGCTTTACAACATGGTCCTATTCTACTATAAGTGTATCAGGCATTCCAAGGTAAGCACAATGTTTCCAATAATCATGTTTACATTGTTCCACAAATGCAGAGTATATGGGATGATGTAGATACTCTATTTTTGAATTTGGATTTATTATGTTAAGTCATTGATATAGATCGTGACAATCATGAATCAGGTTTTGATTTTAAAATATTATTCCAATAAAAGAGTATCAATATTTGATAAAGATTTGAAAAGAAGACTTTTTACCTCTAAATGTGAAACTTGAATGATCTGTTGTTCTTGCAACAAAAATATTTAATAAATAAAAAGTATTTTTTTTTAGTTCTTGAATTAACGATGACTGAGCTTCGTGCAAGAGAAGTTCTTCAGCTGATGAATTGTTTTTGAGTAGAGACTACGTGCATCATGTAGGCATTTATGAGTTGTGAATATCTTGAAGAGTTCCGCTTTCTAGTTTACTTCAGTCGAGATACCTCATTTTTACGATAATTTTTGAATTCAATGTTACGGTTGTTCTCAGCAACAATGGAGAAAATGGTTTTCGAATTTCGATTCAAAACGTTGCATAGAGGCATGTCTTCATGAGGATGGTTTGTTTTGAAAATTTCAGATCTTTTTATTGTTCCCATCCTATGATACTACCATGGTCAGTGTACTTTTTATGACTCTCATATAGACCGCTGATTCGATGTTCCTATTTCAGGAGAGGAACAAAGAAGAAATCTGAAACTTTCAAAATAAACTATTTTCACAAAGGGTTGCCTCTGTGGAAGATTTCAATTCGAAAATCATTTTTTCCAATTATTCCTAATAAGAATCACAGCATTGTAAAAAATTCCGTAAATCTGCAGCATCTCAGTAGCAAAAGACTAAATGCCTGAACTCTTACCAGGATATTCCTAGTTCATTATGATCTGCATGATGCATCTAGTATTGACTCAAAAGCAATTATTCATATGAAGACCTTGCTTTATTAGTATAAGATTTCTGTTTGTGAAATCAATCATCGCATGTTTATTTGAATAGAAAACAGTCAGAAAACAGTGTTTTCCCTAATTAATTGCTTTATCTAGTACATATTGGCAGTTCTTTTCTTGCACTTCATTGTTTTTTGAAAGTGTAGAATGTCATCAATATCTCAATTGAAGAATATTAAAAGTGAGGCAAAAATTTTCAAAAAGAAAGCTTCTAGATTGAGCAGAGCTTTATCATTTGAAAAGTAGATAAGACAGAAGTCACTTGATAAAATCAGGACATTCGGCAACTTTGATGCGCACAGACGGTAACATTCTTTTTTGAGAAATACTGGAAGCTTATAAAGTTTCAAAAATACATCGATATCAATGAAAAGAAAACGAAATATCTTACTTATTGGGTGTTAAACTACATGAAATGCCTTCAATAGTTTTTATTTCAGTGTCAACATGACATTAGCAATAAACAAGATATCATGCAAAATACAAAATATTAACAAGTTTTATGAATATATAAGAATACAAATCAAGGAATAAAATCATGCACATATAATGTCAATTGAAATTTGATTGAAATCGACAACAACGATCGACATAAGTTGTAATAAAGTCTTTTATTATTTTGGTTTCATTATTAATGCTTTAAATAGTTCCTAGTCAAGTGTGATCTTCACGCTAGAGTGAAATAGCTGAATTTATAAAAGCTAGAAACTATTTCAACTTAAAACTTTTGAATATTCTTGGTTAGTTATAGGGTCAGTCCTCGGTATATGATACCTATTCACTATAGAGTAAAATATCAAAGAATTAGTCATTATTTTCCCTAGCAAACTAGCGCCCAAAACAACGCTTTTACAAAAAGAAAAGAAATTGACCGATTCCATATGATTTTCAGATATTCTGCTTATTTTGACTTCAAATGTGATAATTTTCTTGTTACAGTCAGACCATCGGTATTTCATATTCAGCAATAAAAAAAAGTAAGCAATAGTGGAACAATAAATTCACTATCACCAATTGATTTTAGCGAAAGTTAATTTTGGAAATACAAATATTTTATCATCATGAAAAATAGATTTAAAAGCTAAGTGTTCGCCATACCACGCAATGCTTTGCACCTCTCTTAATATTCTTCAATTCTGAACAAAACTGATAAAAGAATTTAACTTCATTTGCGAACTAAATTCTGTTCACTTTCAATCGATATATCGCCCAATATAATCAGACGCACAACTGCCAAGAAATCTCTTTACGAAAAATTTCATTACTATTTCCTCTATGGAGATGTAGAAAAATGGAGCGCATCTGAAAACTTAAGATTAAGCAGAGTTTTCCAGAAATTTATTTATTAATCTTCTAACCATTTATACTTCTAAGTTTAAAAAGAAATAGCAAAACATTGTGAACCACAACATGAGCATGGAAAGAGAAGAACGAGGAAACTTTAGCACGAGAATGTTCAACGCTGAGAAGTTAAGCACGTGAGAAAAACAAGATAAATATAAAGTCTATTGAGAGATCAACAAATAAGTATTGTATTTAGCAAAACAAACTGTTAGTAAAAACAATTATAATGAAATATTATATCCAATTCAATCGAATTTGAGTTAGAAAATCTAAATTAAGGGTGAAGTTAAGATTTAATAAGCATTTTTCGAAGCCTTGATATTTTCTTCTACTATTTGGGTAGTTGACTAGGAATTATTTGTAATATATCAAGATAGTTAACATTTTCTTCGTCCATTAATTTTTGCAAGCAAATCTAATGCTGAATGAGCAGCATACTAGAAAACTAATCTGATTCAGGGATCACATGCTTCAGTCGAGTTATTTGTTCTCATCGATGATTGAGCAGTTCTATTGTGCATGTTTTCGAAAATTGGTATCAAACATACACTTTCTTGTTTTCTGATTTGACTGTAGCTGTCCGAAAAGAAGTTTTATCGAAAAATAATGTTTGTGAAATAAAACATTTACTAATATATCTCTTAGAAATAATCGATCAATTCTTTTTATTCTTCAGCAAAATCCATGAAAAACTTTCAAATACTTTAACGACATTATCTGTTTCCCAAAAATGCCAATATACACCCCTGGGCAAAAGTCTCCCCCCCCCCACCTCTTTTTTCGGCAAGGTTTTCTCTACTACTATAAGGACCAAACATGGTGTTGTTCGGGCCGATTATGAGTTATTCGGGTGCTCTTTTATTTGGCCTGAACAACACCATGTTTGTCTTTACAATAGTAGAGAAATTCCTGCTGAAAAAAGAGGTGGGGGGAAAGACTTTTACCCAGGGGTGTATCATATTTACGAGTATCGTGTGCGAAAACTAAGTCAGTTCGGCATCCTATTGACTGCCTTGAAGAATATTCGTAAAACTAGCATTATCTCTTTATGATAAATGGTATAATAGTTATGGTGTATAAAGGCGACTTTTTGTAGAGATGAATAGCAGTCAGATAGTATGACTTTTGGAAAGCTTTCTTCATATTCACTAATAAAAGTTTTTTCTTTGAAAATTAAACATTATTAATTGCGATGTGAATTGTGGCACATACTTAAGTATTTCTTTGATTAAAAGACGATACGTGGTAGCATGATTACGTCGTAATAACAGATAAATGACGGAATTATATGGTCTCTATATTTTTATGTGCAATTTCTATAATTAATAGAATGCTACAGGCATAATCTTGTGGATATCGCTACGAAGAAAGGCAAGTATGAATAGAAGAATATGAAGGTGTTCATTAATTGCAAATATTAAAATTCTATCATCACTTGTTTTAGTAAACGGCAAAGACGTATCAAGTAACAATAAATGTATTGAAGAACATATTTGAGTTGGTCTCACAACTTAAGAATTGACCTTGACTTAGAGCTTTGTACAATATAGTCAGATTGATATAAAATTTGAACTTTTCGATTGTGTCGCAAAGACCTTTTGATGCTTGATATCGTGACGAGATGATAAACAAATAATCTCTGCATCAAATATGCCTAGCGGTAATGATACAAGAATATCTATCAACTGAAAAATTGTTGTGGAAAAGACACCTTTACGTAAAAAGTCATTAGTGATAATGATAGCTGGTTTTCCTTGTGTATTGAGAGCACGAACAGCTTCTGAACCATCGAATTGATGAAGTTCAATAGTTGTACCATTGGATTTGTTTATATGTTTAGTTGATGGTTTTAAGATATTATTAGTGATAATACATATATATAAATGAGAATGGCAGCCATGGGATGAACATTGTAAGCAATATCAACAAGTCTTTTTCATTTCTTGATCGATCCTTTATGCATGAATAACCATTGTAATCAAGACATAAAGTTTGTTGTATTGTGCCATGAAAATGATTTTACTTTCATGTTGAAGAGTTAAGAATGCTGTGCAAAAAAAGGTTGTGCTTTTTATTTGTGGAAATAAATAATTGGTTTGTTTC